CTACATGTACTGTAAGGGCTCATCTCAAACAGAGGTGAATAACAAATCCTACTCTACCGTGAGAAGTTACTATATGCTTTGAAAAAATAGAGATCAAAGTCAGGGGTCAGATTAACAAAACTGGGTAAATTAGCATGGGAGAGCTATCCCATTAAAAGGTGGAGAGCTACTTAAAGTTCTGATGTACTGATGATGCAAAAATGAGAGAACACAGACACAGCAGCTCATTTGACCAGCGCAGTGCAAATCAGGTCACAGACAAGCAGAATCGATGAGGATGATAAGATGTGGGTAAAATGAGATAAAACATGATTTGGGGCATTAAAAAACGGTGCAACATTGTACGTTTCTGACGTGGAATGTGTAAAAGATGCTAGGGTATGCACAGTGATTAATTTGTAAATTTACAGGTCCTGGAACAGATAGGGGTAACGGATCCAGAATGTTACCAGAGGAGGGAGAGGTAACGAAACTTTTGCGGAACAATCAAATTGGTGGGCCTATTTAGGTTAATTGCAGCTTGCATTAGTAGCTTTTATGGTGTGCATGTCAATACCGGTGCAAGTGTAACTGGCGCTCATGGCCAGAGTTTGGGAGATTACTTTGGAAATGTAATGGATTACAGATAAAAAATTGCCCTATTTGAAATGTAATAAGTAGTGTACCTTTTCGATTACTTTATAAAAGTAAAGTAACTGATTAAATCTGATTACTTTTTAATTACTTTTAAGTTTCTAATGCACATTTTTAACTAAATCATTTTTAAGCATTTATACCAAGCAGGTGTGACCTTACGGTAGCTCTGTACTGTTAGAATTTCAAAATCTTTCATTCCTTGAATTAAGATTATATTCATTTAATTTTAAAGTAAAGCCACCACAAAACCAGACCTTAACAAAAATTGTTTACTGTTGTTACTAAATCAAAGATTTTGTGCAGGGTGTAACTATCATGAACAAATAGTAATTACCATAGTATACCTCAGCCTTTACTACAGTAAACTATAGATAAATCTCCTCTCCCTTAGTCATCTTTCCATCAAGGAAATTTCTCATGTTAGCCTAATTTGTTGGCGACGTCACCAATCAGAGCGAAAGGTGGCAGTAACGCACTAAAAAGTTTGTTGTTGACCACCGAAAAACAGGAAGAAGAAATCCTCATTCTCACCATCATATGGATTTACCTTAATCGGCTAGACACCAGCCTCACAGCTTTGTGAATGTCGGTGCTGTCACATATTGATCCGTGATCAGTAAATGTAGCTTGTGTTGACGCTACTGCACTGCTTGACTAAAAAAATAGCTTTACTACTGAAAAGCTTTATTAATTTATAAAGTAGCAATGCTACTGCCATGCTACTGAGAAATTAGCTAGTAGCGTCACTACTTAAATCGATGCTACTACCCAACACTGTTAATGTGATAAAATCGCTTAGGCCAGAGGAGTCTGTTGGTGCCCTGAATTTCACAAATGCATAACTTTGTGTGTGATACTATATCATTGGAAATGAAAGGGTGTGTTTTTAGTTCTGTACACTCACAATAATGACAAAAGCCATTTGCTATTATAAAATAAAGACAACACAGGCTCATTCTGAAAACCAGTTTGTCCAGTTAGCTCATCGTGTACATCACCGGATAAAGAGAGAAGTTGACCACGACGATCGGGTTCGAGTCCGGGGAAGAGCGATTCCAAAAATCATGTAAGAAAAAAACAGAATCCAAAAAATAAAATGAACGGGAGAACAACAGGGTGAGAATGTGGTAAAATCCGAAAAGGTGGTAAAAATCAGATGAGGGCTTTTCTTTTTCTTGCCGGCTTTTGTAAATTGTTGGTTGGGTTTAGGGAAGTAAGCGGGTGGGCGGGTCAATCTGTAAAATTGGTTGGGTTTAGAGAAGGAGGAGGGTGGGTCAGTCAATTGGCCGGTCGCCCAGTAAATCATTCAGTCATTCAGTCGGTTGACAGCGACCTCTGGTGGGTTCACGGGAGAACAGCGCAGGCGCGAACGGCACATTTAAGATGTGAAAAAGCGTACACAGCGGCCTCTTGCAGATTTGCAAAAACAAAAACTCCAGAAAAGTCAGAGGGACTACGTTTTCAGAATAAGCATGGGTTGAATAAAGAAAGGCTAGAAAAACAAATTTTGCACTGAACTGTTATATTTGCACCCTTCTCGGATTTCAGGGTGAAATAATTTTTAAATTTCCAGCAATGAAATGCATTTTCATCACTTGCTATGGTGGCAGCTCTTAGACTGATTGTAGTAGCCTAATGCTTTAGCGGCAGAGAGGATTAACGTAACTGGTAGACGTGGTGCGCCGCAATCAAACCGGAAAATCAAAAGCATCAGAATAGCACCACTTTAATAAATGGCCTTAGCAGAAGGCATCGTGCATATCAAAAACAGACAAAGCAACAGATTATTATTATTCAACATATTTAGATGTAACCCCATTTAAAATCTTTAACATTTTCATAAGTAACTAACTTAATTACACATTTTTTATATGATATTTTGTTTTTCTGCGATATATATTGCGATATGATTTTCATGAAATTATTTGAATAGCTCTATTTGGAATGATTACATTCATCTAGATAGATTGGGAAGATCAAGTCTTTTTCTATGCAGTGTGTGCATAAATTATAATAAATTAAAAGCATATAAGGCCACTGAACCTAACATCTAAAAATATTTTAATTTCACCTTTAAGATGCTTTGTACAGTGAGTAATATTATTTTTTAATTTCGCAAAGTTCCGTGTATAACTTTCACAGACTGCAGTGATATGCACCGAACAAAGACTGCTGCTCAGTTAACTTCATTTCCTGGCTGTTCTGGGCATGATTCCACTGAACAACATTGAGGGTGGATCACTTAACAACAAGCACCCGCCTCATGATAACACCGTTTCCCAGGCAACCAAAAAAAGGAGGGAAAAGCAATAGCTTCTGGATTCCAACAGACTATAAAAGCAAAGATGTTGCTCTATTTTATTCCATGGCTGCTTTTCAAATATTAGCTTGCAGTGAGAGAACCACAACAACGCTTCTCCAGAGAAGTCTCAAATGCTCAAGCTTTAACTTGGAAGTCTTACATCAGACTGCTCTCTTGCTGGGTTAGTGCTAGTTTGGGGAATTGGTGATGGGTATGTTATAGCAGCAAGCAATTTCTCCTAAATGCTGTAATACGATAAAACACATCCCTCTGAGCTTTCCATGTTAAGACACTTGGCTTCCATATTCAAACTACTAACCCAAGCCATCGAATGACTGTGAAATTTAAACCTAAAAAACAATTATATTAAAACCCTAATTAAAAACCATGATCACAAAGTCAGAAACCCTCGTTATTTTCATCCGAATAAAGACCAGATCAATGATATTCTGTTGCACATCTAATTAAGCTGCATTCAGGCTAATGTTTTTAATAAATATAAACTGACTTCCTAAGAGAACTTTTATCTACAGTTACTGGAAAAAATAACGCAGTTGTGGTGCTTTAACATCCCTTGAACTTGTGTGAAACTAATGACTCCAACAAATCCACTAACCGTGTTCATAAGTCCAGCTCCATTAGACCTGCACGGACTAATGCATCTCCAGATGGTGATGGAAATGTTGCCTATATGAGTGGGTGGGTGAAATATTAATTAACATTTCCATTTTACAATCCCCTTTAGGTCTGACACCGGACAGAGAGTCAAATCCAAGTCAGTCTCTGACATATAAAGTCCTGAATCAGTTAAACCAGTGAAAGTTTTAGCATTTTTTTCCATTCAGAATTATATTTAAATGAAAAAAATACATTCAAACACATTTGTTTGCATCTAAAATTCACATTTAATAAAGTTATTATTAGTCCTTATTTAAATAAGTGTATTCTATGTCAGGAGACAGGACAGATTGAGAGACTCTTGGGGGCATGATCCATGAATCTAGGTCATGAGGGCATGTGTTGTCATAAACAAGGTCCCCCATAGAAACTGTAGATTATTATTTATCTTTTACTCTTTTTTTCTACTCCAGTCTCTCTCTATTTCTCTCCCTGCTTTTCTCATTCACACTTAAGCACAGACGCACTGATGCTCGTCCTCTTATTTTATATCCTCAGAAGCCGCTCCAGGGAATTTGGTGTCAACTGGAGGTTTCCATTTAGGCAGAAATAAAACAGAGGATCTCAGCATTTCAAACATGCACAGACTGCATCTCAGTGACTCTTCTCCCATGAGAAAGCTGTCTCTCCCGGCTATGGCAAGAGTGTCACAGTGATTGTGTTAAGCACTTATTTTATAGATTATGTTCATGTGTCGGGCAGATGATTCAGACTAAATCATGTTATAACAGCACTGATTTTGAGGTCATTAAATCTTCTATTCATTCTCAATAAATGCTTTTGGATATTTTACATATTTATTAGTTTTAAAATGTGCATACTGAAGCTAGTAGAAATTATGCTGTTTTAACCAGTTGTAAAATATCAACGCAAACTGTCTGATGAATGTTCATATACATATGTTTCTGACAAATCGTTTCACCCAATTTAAACAGAAACAACTCAATTAGACATTTTGTAGAGTGAAACTGCTAAATTAATAATTTCCCCCTTTAGAAAATTTCTGAAAAAAGAATTTCTGTGATTTTTCAATTACTGTGATTTGTTGACGATTTCAAAATGGCCCTTAATTTAATTATTATATTCACTTTTCCTCAGACAATCCATCTCATGAACACTTTATGATAGTAATTGTGAAACGAACATCACATCTGTTTATACACGTATACACTTATTTATTTAACAACATACCTTACTGGCCAATTTGCACATATAGCTGCACATGTAATTTTGTATAGTAATTTACCTGTACATACACTTGTCAATTTGTATATTTGAGCAATTCCAGCATTATGGATGTGACATTTGCAATAAAAACTCAAAACATAAATTCACATGGAAAGTATACGTTAATATTATATTGAAGCATGCTTATATTTTCCAA